AGTTGGGGTTGTTCAGCCTGGAGAGGAGAAGGCTCCAGGGAGACCTTACTGCAGCCTTCCGGTACTTAAAGGGGGCTTAGAAGAAAGATGGGAACAGACTTTTTAGCAGGGCCTGTTGTGATAGGACAAGGGGTCATAGTTTTAAACTAGAAGAGGGCAGATTTTGACTAGATCTGAGGAAGAAATGTTTCACCATGAGGGTGGTGAACCACTGGCCCAGGTTGCCCAGAGAGGTGGTAGATGCTCCATCCCTGGAAACATTCCAGGTCAGGTTGGACGGGGCTCTGAGCAACCTGATCTGGTTGAAGATGTCCCTGCTCATCACAGGGGCGTTGGACTAGATGACCTTGAAAGGCGCCTTCCAACCCAAACTATTCTATGATTCTGTGAAGGGGGAAACATAATACAGCAGAAGAACATAATGCAACAGGAGAAACATGAACAGCTTTTTGCATGCAGTCTTCTCACCTTGAGTAAGGAGCTGTTGCTTGTGCCCTTTTTTCCTGTTACCAAGGCCTCAATCATCAATGCATAAAAACAGCTGCTGAGTTTTCAGAAAAAACTCGGTTGCTCAAGTACATGCTTGCCAGTAATCAAATAATTTAAGTGCTCTAGTGGCAAGTGAGGTTTTCAGAGTGTATGAATGCAAGTAAACTGAATACAGCAATAGCCAATTGACTTTCCAAGACATTTAAAAAAAATTTATGATACTCATATTAATACAATTTAGCAACGTACAGCCAAAATAGTGAGAAAACACACACACAAAGTAATTGTTCAAAATACGTAAGAGGTTTCTTCGAGTACTGCATAGGAAGTCCAGCGACCTCTGAGGATGCCTCTTCCAGCCTTTAAGTTCCTTACAAGAGTGTTAAACATTTGGTTACCATGTCTCCATACTTTGTGTGCTGTATACAGCAGACATTCCCTGGCAGGCTATGCACATACTCAATGCATATGTATATTTCTGTAACTCAAAATCCTCACAGGTTTTTACAAGTTCAAGGTATTGTAGGATTTTGCAGCTAGCACATGCAGCAGAGAAGCTTCTACCTTTAGAACTGGTCCTAAAACACACTACTTAGAATGTCTAATCAGAGAATCACAGAATCATTAAGGTTGGAAAGGACCTTTGAGATCCAACCGTTAACCCAACACCACCATGCCCCCTAAACCATGTCCCAAAGCACCACGTCCATGTTTTCTGAACACTTCCAGTGACCATGACTCCACGACCTCCCTGGGCAGCCTGTTCCAATGCTTGACCACTCTCTCAGTGAAGAAATTTTTCCTAATATCCAGTCTAAACCTCCCCTGGTGCAACTTGAGGCCATTTCCTCTTGTCCTATCACTAGTTACTTGGAACAAGACACCAACACCCACCTCGCCACAACCCCCTTTCAGGTAGTTGTAGAGAGCGATAAGGTCTCCCCTCAGCCTCCTCTTCTCCAGACTGCTATGCATCTCTATCCTAAAAAACTGAACTAGCGACAAAATGGAAGTCTTGAGAAGTCAGAGTTCTGCTCCTTACATATCTTTTTTGTTTTAATAGAAGTATACTGGCCTTAACTGGAGGGAAAAAAAAACCACAACTTTGTACAATACTGCAATGCAAAGAGCCAAAAAACCTACTGAAGCCAGATCTAACCACCAGGTCAAAGAAGAAATGGCTACAGCACAAGTTCTCTCAGCCCCTCCTCCCTCTTCTCTAAATCCCGCTCACTTAAACATCTGAGAATAAGGAATTACAGCAAAAATGCCTTCTCAACCGTAATTATCTCATAGGGTGAAAGTAGGGGCATAAAATTTAGAAACTCACTAAGTTTAGATGCCACGTAGTATAGTATTGTTAATGTTAAGAAATAGATTATTCTTCAGTGAGCTAAGTTTTAATTGATTTCTTAAGATGAATGTAAGAACATTAAACTCATGAACTCCTGTGTTCTACTTTTCATTATTAAATTTGAGCAACATCTTAAAACATACCTTAAATTGCCAACATTTAAACATTGTATTTTAATCAATAACTAGAAGAGTATGCGACTTTCAAACAAGATAGCATTGTTGAAAGTTATTTCCACTCTACATCCTGTAGTTTTATTTTATCAACCAAAACTTTCAAACAAGATAGCATTTTTGAAAGTTATTTCCATTCTACATCCTGTAGTTTTATTTTATCAACCAACTTCCACTACAAAAAGTTTTCACTGTTTAATGAACAAATACTTTTATTCTCTCATATTTAGCATATAATTCTTACCTTGTTTAATTCTTTCACTGAAATAAACCTTTTGGATTTTGCCACTAATGCATGTGAAGTTTTAACTCTGGTTTTAACCCTCTTTGCACAAAATCAGCAAGACCATGACTCCGTGACAGTAAAGGCAATGACGAAACCTGCTTTCTTTCAAGACTGATGAAAAAGTAAATAATATACATACCTAAGTTTTCTCCACCCCAAACATCCATCATCATGTCATACTTCCCTAGTTCTTCAAAATAGGATTTGTCCATCACAAACAACCCACCAGCTATCATGGGTGTCCTAAACAGACAAGAAAAATTAAATACTTCCAGAACCATAACTGGGAGGTAACTGTTATTTGTACCTCAAGGTTAATACTGCCTTGAAAAAATTTGCAATGCTTTCGAATGCAACTACTTTTGCATCTATCACTTCAAACATTGTCTGCACATGTTTCTATGGTATATATAGTGCTATGACCACCTTCTGAGGCAGTTTCCAAATCTCCATTTGGCTCACAAGTTCCTTATGTAACGGGTGGCAATTTGTGCCAGCAGTAAAACATTACAACTGACACTGTAGTTTCAGCCCTCAAAACTTACCAACTTTAAAGAAAGTGACATCTACTTTTTGTTAAGAGTAAATAATCTACCAGTGTGCTTTACAGTACCTTTATATAAAATAAAATTTGAGAGTCTCATAATGCAACACAAATAGGAATGAAACATTCATATTCATGAATATTCAATATTAATGAAAGCTATAATGAAGATCCTCTTTCAGACTCAGAGAAGATGATTTCTAACTTTGTTTAGTTGCAAACTACAAGCTATTAGAGGAAGAAGTGGTGGTACAGACATACTTTATGGGAGCAACTGGATTTCCTTGCCGCGCTCTTCTTTGCTCTGGTGTCATGTAATCCCATTTGAACACCAGGTTCCAATCAAAGCCTTCAAGAAAATACGAGAGAGTAGAATGTTAAAAAAAGACTGCGGCCATCATTGAACTTATACTAGCGTAATGTTGACCGAAAACACTGGGAACTGTAATTTAAATTACAAATCTACACTTGTACAAACTTTTGGGCAGAAAACAAGCAAGCAGGAGTACGGATGAAAGGTAAAGAAGTTGACAGGAGAATAAAAAAAGTAATCTCAAGTACAAAATAACATCAATTTCTCTTGTTGACATCTATTATACAAAGTAAGAAACCCAGTCAACAAGTAACAAAAGCCTTATATATGAATCCAACATCACATGAAGATCTTCCAGCCATTACAAATGCTCCCAGTCTTTTCAGTACAATTGTTTCAACTCTTATCAAACTATCACATATTTATGTTTACACAGGCTTTATGCAGTACTTCTGGTCTCCTTTATCAGCAGGAGCTCTCTATCATGAAGGTCACAACAGGTTATGTAGCTCCCACTTCTATCTGATTAACATTCATTTAACTTCCTCCTTTCCCACCGCATGTTTTTAAGTGCATCATTTGTTAAACCTGAGGCAAGTGCTAGAGTGTCAAAATCTTACTGCCCTTATGTATGTACATACACGTGTGGACACACAGCAACACCTGGTCTGGTCCTTTTGCGAGTTAAGCACAGGAGCACATAAAGATCACTAGAATAGACAAGACCAATAGGTCACCTACAGCAGCTTTCTACCTGACAACCATTTGAACTATGTCCTGTAGGCAATGATACACAGCTGGTATAAGACAAACTTCCTATAGGAAACATTTTCATAATAGTTTTTGAGCTGGGTTATGCCCATAAGCATGAACATCTATTAAAAAACCACACAAGGTCCACAGCCCTCTCCCAGTACACCTAGCAAATCAGCCTTATACAGACTGCCAGCTCCCAAACACATTTAGATCCTATGAGGTCATGTAACGAATGATTTCCAGATTTCTGGTGCACAGATGTCAATAGTTTTCTTTCTCCAGCATAAAGATAAAGCAATTACTTTGTGGGGAAGTGGGGAAAAAACGAAGGTAAACAGACAGCAGTTACAGTCCTACAAACTGTCTGTCTGCATCCATAGATGTGCATAGTAATAATTGATGCAGAGAGTTGACAATTAAACAGTTTTAATTTTAATTCACAAGATTTTTTTCTCGCACACACACAAAACACAGCAATTATCACAGTCTTTATAGCACACATGCCAACCCTTTCTCTCCATGTTGCGTATTTCATGAACTGTTGCACTGTAAAAATGAAAGACCATCTAACTACTCCAAAAATCCAAGTAGCAAAACAGTAAAATGGCTACAAACTATAGTACTGCAAAGCTTCCAGCATGAAAAGTAAAACAAGCTCCAGTATTTCCATGCAGTTAAAAAGTTGCATTTCATCATACGTACCCAGCAAAATTACTTGCATCTGGGAGAATTGGAAAAAAAACCCTACTGTTCTCCGACAGAAGCAATAGAGATAGAGTTATGTATACTCCAGTGAACACAAGGGGTCTCTTTTGGAACACAGCACTCTGTTACAAACTCAGAACAAGAGTCTAAATTGTCTACCCATAAAAACTGGTTTTGCATCTCCATTTTCACTGACTCTGGGAAAAATCTGCACTCAATGAGATAATACCAGTAACTCTGTAAAAGGAGTATTTTTAAACACAAGTGCATATCCACTATGAAATTCTATCCAGTATAAACTGCATGATAGGCATACTCTAAAATATTAGATCTCAGTTAACTACAGTTTATTCCAGTAATTAAAGTGTTTCTCAGGGCAGCACAAACACTTTTGAAAATGCCTTCTCAAAAAAAAAAAAAGGTAAAAGGTTAACATGCAGTGCATGGATTTAGGAGTGGCCAGACTTGGGAATTATTTCAGCCCTGTCCACTTAAAAAGCTTGTAGCATTTGCTAGGTTGCTTGCTTGGGTGATTAAGTCCTTTCAAAACAGAGCAGGCACAAATGCTGTCCCAGCTGTCTCAACTCTCCATGTTTCAGCTGCACAGATACTGTATCTAAGGTTGAAAGCATAGTTTGGTTTCCATGTTTAGACTTGGCCCCAGAGAAAGTGTCCCATAATGCCAAATGCTGTAGTGCCTCTACCATGCTAATCTGTCCTCTGGGAAGTGAAAAGAAATACATCATTCACATTCCAACAGACCCTCAAATAGCTTTAAACACTGGTATGTGCAAAATTTCTATTGCTAACATCGAAAAAGACAGCTTCTAACTCCTCAGTCCGGAAGTACAGAAGCTCCATGCACTTTAAAGAATCTATTTCTATTGTGTACAGGGGGAGAAAAGAAGATCTAAAAAGTAGAAAAAAAAAATTGGGAAGCAGTTCCAAAGATGATGAAAAGCAGTAACAAGTGAAATGATCTCTCAATCTTCTCCCACTTCACTTGGGAAGAATTAAAGTGCGTGAACCCCGCAGGAACCAACCGAAGGCTTCAATGAAAGAATTCCTCCTCCTACTGCAGACAACAATAAAAGCCACATAATGGTATAGAGATTGCCATACTCGAGGCATAATGAATAGAGTGGGTAAAAGCCTGGAGGTTTTAATAAAGCTGGCACACAGATAATAGCACAGAACTATACATTAGCATACTGTGAATATATGCACTCTAGGTGTTATTTCAGAACATTAATTAAAAGGATATAGAACCTCTCACCTCCAGATCACTGACTGGAAATTGAAGCACATGTGCCTTTATGCGAATATTGCTTTTATTTTAGTTTACTGGAATAACACTTTGTAGCCAGAGACTAGTAACTGTCAGAACAGGCTTAAAACTGGTTTTTCTTTCCTCACTCAAGAAAGTCCATTCAGAAAATGCTCAAACACTGTGGGAACAGCACTGCCTAATTTCTGTATTGTGGCTCATCTTATATCTTTGTGCAAACAGTTCAGCTTCTAGGGTTGTGGGAATAATTATTACCACACCACCACCCCAAAAAAAGGCGGGGGGGAGAGGAGAGAACAGCTATTTTAAATGCTAGATTCTTGCTTAAAGTGAAAACGGTTTTAAAAAAACTTGTAACGAGTAAGGAATTTAGTGTGTGGTTGCCCTCCTCCCTTGGGAAAAGGAGAAGGGAGATTTTTTTTTTTTACTTTTTTTTTTTTGAGGGCTTAACAAATCTTTTTTACTATTTGCTGTCAACAGTTTACACTAGGTAGGCATAGTGAAACTATAGTACTTCTAAACTCAGTTTACCAGGAAATTTCGTAACTGTAAAGGTATAAACACTACAAATTTTCAAGGTCACATGTTACTCTTCACAATTACAGATCATGGCTAACAGAAACATTTATTTTTCAGACACATTCCAAAGCTTTCTGCTTATTCAGAAGAGTTTATTTTTTTAAGCAACCAGCATCTCGAAAAATACTCATAGGCACTGCATTGCTGATGGGCTTCTAAGCTGGAGAGCAATTAAAGCCTGTCTTGTCTAAAAAGAGAATCATAAGCTCTGGCCATAAGCTGCTTCTGACACATTTAAACAATCCTACAAACATTGGAGTGAGTACTGCACATTGCAGCATAAACTTTCAAGAATTAGTATAATAAAGACAAACTGTTTAAAAGCTGAATAAGGCCAATTAAAATCCAAGCCTAGAAACAACTGACCTATAGAACTTAAACTAGATATATGAAAGGGAAGAACAGTATGTTAACTGCCCATTCCACAACTGCAGTGATTATGAGCTTTGATTCTTGATGCCTTTTTTTTTTTTTAATTTGTATTCCAGTACAGGTACATACCGCCTTTTAAATCAGCTGACGCCCCCACGTACTGGAAGTTGTCCATATTAATTACATCAATAATAGGAGACACAACTCTGGTCTTGTCCTAAAATAAATATTAGAAAGTAATATTGAAATAATGAAACCAGAATATGAAGATTCAGGCAGGATGAGATGTTGAACAGTTCAGCAG